AGAGAAAAAAATCCGACAACAAAAGAGAAAGTCTGCGCCATTGGGTATTAGCAGACCAGGAAGTTAGAGGAAAGAAGGAATGGCTATGTATGTGCGAAAAAAAGTCGACCTGCGATCAATGCAAGAAACAAAAACCCTCAAACAGCGCAGCGCAAGAAAATAACGAAACGGGTCTTCCAGTACCCTTATCTGCATCCCTCAATTTTGTCTTCACAGCCCGCACCCTCGTTTGTCGTGTACATCGTCAATGTGCAGCGTCAATATGCAGTGATGCATGTCCCAAACATCTCATCTTAGGTGACATTTAGAACTCCAAACACATCATGGCTGGCCTTAGCATCTGTTTTGATATCGGTACGGGACCGTTTCTTGTTCGGGTTCACGACAACTTCACCCCAGTGTTTCGGGACGGCGCCTGACGCGCCAGAGGTGGGACGGCTTGGCGGTGATGTGCGATGGGTAGATACCACAGGTGTTGTTGTATCAGTTCTTTGTGATGGAACGGGAGATGCGGAGGTAGGGGTGTGGAGAGTTGCTTGGGGTCGAAGGTGTGGTTGTGGTTGGATGGACCAGATATCGATAACGGAGCTGAGAGAGATGATTAGCACAAATCTAAGCTAATTTGTTGTGTTCTAAACAAAGGAAACTAGTATAGTCTGTATGTATACTCACTCAGATGTCCGCTGGCAAATTGATTCCAGCGCCTCCCTCTCACGTCTCACATATTCCGAATCCGGCTGGCTAGCCTGTTGAGCGTGGTTAAGTGCTCCGTAGCCATACCCGGCTTGATAAGGGTCCTCTTCGAGTAGACGTGAAGACTCAGGCTTAGCGATAAAAATGTTAGACAACAGCGCACTGTGACGAACATCCCACGCATCGCGCATTAGACCGAGGTAATGCGCGCTGAACATGGTGACCGGGGAAATTAACTCCAGGCTCGGGACTCACTTCAGGAGACTCGTGGCGATTCCCGCCGAGGCAGGAGGCACAGATACCCATTTATAGGAATCGGGATCGCGAATTCAGAACCGGGGATGTTCTTGGCTGCACGTTTACGCTATGCGATGGGCACGAGGCATTAATCACCCCAATAGCTGAGGTGCGGGTACCCTTTGTTCAGGTGAGGGAATTATTAGAAGGTAAGGAGTGTGAAATATGCAGAAAACAGAGAATATGAAATAAAACAAATGGCGCAGTGGAGAGTCCCACTGTAGACGAAAGGACTTTGAAGTCGGAGGTTGAGGCTGGGCGGTCCGTGCCATGTCATCAGGCCGTGGCCGCAGAGCGGCGAAACACCGTTTTTCTTGATTTAGCGTTTGGTCTTATTGCTCTCCCCACACACCACACGATGTTTGATCTACCAAATGCTAAGCGGTATGTGAGAGAGCAATTCATTTTAATGCCTTATACACCAAGAAAAACTAATATGACTTGTACAGTGTCCGCCGCGATGAGATGCGTTCACCAGCATCATCCTGCTCGCCATCACCAGCACCAGACGACGACGCCGCCGCCCATGATGCATATGCCCGCTTAGGAAAACTACTCGATCTTGATCAATTGGATGTGCCACAAGAGACAACTAGCCAAGACAATGGTCCCTCACAGCCTGCGGATGACGAAGATGAGGAACAAGAATTCGAGTTCCGGTTATTCAGCGCCCCCACCAAATCAACAGGAGATACCACCGAGCAGTCAGGAAAGGATGCAGATGAGAAAAGCACAGAGGCCCCCAATACCCAAAAGTTGAGAATTCGGCTGCATTCACCTACACCGGGGTCTGGAGCTGGCAGCGAGGGACGATTTGTGAAAGCCTCCCGCGGGTGGGATTATTACTTCTCTACGCCTTCTCTCCAGGGCACAAGGGGTGGGGAACCTACCGCCGAAGACCAGCGCCGGATAGCTGAAAAGAAGGAACAATTTGAGGATATGGCCGTTAGCGGTCAGCACATGCTGACATGGGCCAAGTCGCTAGTCTGGGTTAGTGAAGATCCATTTGGCTAGTTTTGTAGCTGCTAACTTAATTTCTAGCCCGGCTGCCATCTCCCCTGGCGAGTCATTCATCTCAAGCGACATCAGACCAAACTGCCACGGCCGGCCAACAGTCTTCCCGTCTACGTGGTAGAGGGCGCACCTGTCTCGAAGAGTCCACTTACCCGCAAGAAGCCAGGCAAGAAGCGCCGAGTGCAGCTGCGCAAGCGGGCTGCGGCCGCGCAGGCTGCAAAGGAAAATGAAGCGGAGAAGCGGACTCGAAAGAACCGCGAGAGGAAAATCAAGCGCAGACAAAAAGCGAGAGAGCAGAAGGCTGCGGCGGCGGGTGTCAGTGTTGAAGATGTCGTCATGGCTGATGGTGATGATCATTCCTCTAGCGGGGAGGAATGAAACTATCTAGCATCAGGATAGATTCTTAACGTGATACCCGTGGGAGTTTTGGTTTTACCCTTTGGCGTCAGCAGCAATGGCATAACATATCAAATTAAGGCGGGCAATTTTACTGTCGCATAACCTTGGAAGGATTCTGGAATGGACGAGTAGAGCTTTGCATGGTATTGAGCGGTCTGATCGAGGCCGATATGGAAGAGAAAAAAGGCATGCAATGCATCGCTTCGCGAAACTGATTAATATACAACGCTGAGGGTATGAAACAAAACAGGAAGCCGGGGAAGAAAGCACTCGCAAGCAAGATCAGACTGGAAAAGGAAATGTCCTATTCTTCGCCAATTGAGCGGATATTCAAACTTCTACTTAGCGGGCACGTCTAGCGTCGCCATTAGCATTATTCTCTGCCTCGTTAAGACAATTGACTTACCGGGTTTGGCAGCAGGTTCCGCAGGCGCAGCAGTAGTGGCCTCGGGCTTAGCAGCAGCTTCATCGGTAGCAGCGGCCTCGGGCTTAGCAGCAGCTTCATCGGTAGCAGCGGCCTCAGGCTTAGCAACAGCCTCCTCAGGCTTGACAGCAGGCTCCTCGGGCTTGGGAGCAGGGGCCTCGGTCTTAGTAGCAGGCTCCTCAGGCTTAGCAACAGGGGCCTCAGGCTGCACAGCAGCAGGTGCAGGGGCAGCAGCAGGAGCCTCAGGCTCGTAATGAGTGTCGACAGGGCCGGCGGTAGCCGTCATCTCAGGGGAGGCGGCAGGGTCTGCCGTGCTCGCATCCTTTGTCTCGGGCGCCTTAGCAGGATCTAGAATAAGTCAATAAGTCAGTTGGGGCCCAAAAGCGCGACGAAGTCAGTATCAAATTAATAAGAGTGTCATACCGGGGGCAGAGTCCGGGGCGACGGCGGGGGCGGTGGGTTCCGCGGCAGGCGTCTCACTGGCCGCAGCGGCAGCGACAGGGGCAGCAGTCGCAGCAGTCGCAGCAGGGGCAGGTTCAGGCTTCTGTTCGGCTTGCTTCTTAGCAGCCTTCTTGCGGCCGAAGAAGAACCGCTTGAAGCCCTTCTTGACCTGCTCAAGAGCGTCGGGTGCTGGGGAACGTTAGCGCTGTGTACTGGTGGTTCCGACGAGCGCCAAATGTTGGGTCGTCGAATGTTGGGTCGGGAGTATAGGGGATTGTTATATCACTCACGAACACCAGGCATTTTGATCAACGAGTTTGAGATCGGAGTAAATCGAGATTTGATAAATGTGAATCAAGACCCGATGAGGAACGCGTTGCGAATCGAAAAGGAGGAGAAACGCGCAGTCGATGTATTTACTCCCACGTGACTCACCCCATCGATGCTTGTTGACTTTCCATTTTTGTTTTTTGGGGGGGGAATTACCTTCTCGTATACCGTTTCCAACGTGTAGGAGGATGGGATTTCATTGGCTGGTCGCAATATAAATGGGTCCTATCCCGCAGCTTATCTTGGCTCTGGCAGCTCCAGCTATTGTGGCTGTGTCGGCGCTAATCTGCTAATTTGCTTGCACTTTCATTTTATATTTCTGAAACAATCTGGGTATTTAGTCCAATATAATTAGCAGAAGGGAGATAGTTAGTTATATAGCTCCTCAGAATAATTCAATGCTGGATGGCTGGATTGTTCCATTGCTATAGATCTAGATGTAATGAATGAGTTTCAACTGTAGTGATGCGTAAGTGATGCAAGCGTAAATTGGCAGAGATAGGACGGGAAAAGATAGAAACGCAATAAGAAAAAAGAAAGGAAATTAAAGCCGGGGTATCAATGGTATCTGGTCCGCAAATCACTGCGCAGGGTGTGTATAACTAAAGAAATTTGAAGATAGTCAGGGCAACAGAATGCCCTAAGCCACATTGTATTAGCACCCATCAGTCTTGATCATGAAGAACACACGTACCCAAAATGAGAAAAAATAGAGCGATTGCAATCTTAAGGTTCTGGGCGGCGATAACGATGAGCAGGATGGCACAGAGAGACCACGGAGAGGATCCTCCAATACCGAAGCCCGGAACATGCTTAAACTTGAAGGCTGCATCGTCGATGACGGACTGCAAATTGGCAGCGGCAACGCTAGTTTTGGCCAGCAAAGCTTGCGATACTTGCGCCTCAAACTGAATGGCCTCCTGGACCCGCGATTGTGTAGATAGTGCTTCTGTTTGTTGGTCTTGGGTCTTTTGTAACTCGCTTGCTTTCGATTCAGATCTCTGTATGAAGGTTTCCATGTTTTGAAGTCGCTTTGAGAGTCAGCAAGAGAGCCAATATGCGGAAGGTGTACTCGTACTTCTGTCATCCTGGTTTCTTGCTCAAGAATCACGTTCATTCGGCTGATCAGCCATTCCTACAAGTGGGGCAAAACGTTAGCTTCACAGTGTACACCAAGAGGTAGATCCATATTTGGCACACCATAGCAGCATCGAACTTCTGCATTCCTCGGTATACTCTGTCCACGTCTGAGTCCAGAAGCGACTCGAGCGACAGGTGTAAGGAAGATGCAAGATCCTTCTGAGCGACAGCATTGGTTTCTTGGACCAGCAACGTTTCTTGGCTTCTAGCCATTGCATCTTGATGTGCGGTCCGTAGCGCTTGTTGAAGTGCTCCCACTTGGGTCGATACGTTCCGGATATCCTAGTTAAAATTTAGTATGTGTTTCGACTTTTTTTGGCTTTTTCGGATTTTACCTTTTCGAGGGCCCCTGTACCAGTGCGCACATTTGACAAAGCCACAGATATAGAATCTTGGAGAGACCATATTCCGGCTTCGATTTCTCGGAGAAATTTGTCGAAAGTTCGTTTGAACACAGAGTCTGTCGCTTCCATGTCTGTTACGATCTTCTGTTGCAGAGACCGAGCAGCTTGTATGAATGAGTGCTGGTGCGCAGAATGTGCAGTTGCATTTTTCAAAGCCTCTTGAAGGCCGTTGTTGAGCTTGAGACTGCTCTTGGCAATAGATCGATGTAGGTCAATCAATTCCTCTTTCTCCGTCTCCATTCGCGAGGCATGGCAGATCACAAGGGCATTCTGTCGACTGTTGCTGTAAGAAGTCCACCACTGGGGTCGCGACTCGAGTGTCCTGAGACAATGCTCCAGTAATTCTTTCGGGACTTCATCTGACACAGGGTCAGAGCCTCTGTGCCGACTAACAAAGCCGAATCGGTTCTTCTGTGGGGGCGGCGAGACAGTGACAGGAAGGCACGGGGTAGGCATTGGGGTGCCGGTACCGTCGATCTCACATAATGCCAGGCGTGCGGCGTAGACGGATCGAAGAATGTCAAGCGTCTCTGGGCTATCCGTCTGCGCGCCATCTTTGCCATCGCTGAAAGTTTGACACGAGTTCACTAATTTTGTTGCTGCGAGTCGGTTGCACGAGGGTGAAGATTTCATCGAGTCCAGAATCTTGACCGCTTCGCTGAAGATGCTGTCTTGGTCTTGCGCCCGGGAACTGAGGAAAGAGATCGCGTCGATGTCTGACGGCTTGGGCGCAAGGATTGGGACACCTTCTTGGGTTAGCAGAATGATTTGAGATTTATCCAAACACCTTACTGTGTTGGGGGACACTTGCTCGACTGAGGTGTGCAAGTGCCAGGAAGGTATATGAAACCACTTGAAAGCTATCGATTGCCCTCATAGTGAATGGTCTGGCTGGTTTGTACGATTGTGGCTTCGCACCCTAGTTCTTGATCCACTTATATTGTCTGAGATGAATGGATATAAGAAGGTATGCGAGAAGAGTGATATAAGGCGGAAAGAAATGGATGAAGGATGACTTCGAAAGTGAGATTGACATCGAAGTTGTTTGGCTCACGCCCACCTCTGGCTGTACCGTTTTCCTGATCAAGTTCTCCTTAGCGGTCATTTGTCTATGGATTATTATTGATTCTATTCAAATACTAATGCAGTCGTTCATAATACATATGTATTTAGGATTCATAGGGCAATTTAGCGAACTAAGGATTGCCTTATGAGATATATATTAAACCAAGATATTCGAGACCCTCGAAGAGGAGTGTGACTTTCAGCAGTTTTGACAAAGTAGCAGAGCTGTATATTTTCTGAAGGGAAATTCTAAATCCTCTATGCAATTTGTAAACTTGTGAATTGCCTAGATTAGTTTTACTGCTGGTTACAGTGGTGACAATGGAATTCGAACTCCGGGCACCAACCTCGGCCACGTAGTAAATTGCTTTAAGATCAGATCACAGAAAGACCCGCCTCGATTTACAGGCAAGTTACTGTAGCCAGTCTTACCTTGGATTAGTACAAGAGCCTTGTTGGTCGTATGACAAGGCCAATGGGAGACCACTGCAGGGCCTACTCCATCCAACTGAAGGAGAAAGGCATGTCCCGTCATGCCGACACGGGTGCCCGTGGAGCTGCGCGTAAAGCTTTGAAGGATGCCAATGCCACCGGCATCCGGAAGGAAAAGGCCAAGGCTGACAAGGGACATGCTTTTCTCCTTCAGCAGGATGGACTTCAGCTGATACAACATCACAAACGATATACCCATTCGGGGGTATCAGGGCTGTGACTAGTCGGACCTGCACGTATGGGTTAATAGCCGTTTCGAAACATGAGGGATCGGAACAAACGCCCATTCACGCCATCAAAACGCAGAAGATTCGGGACTCTGTGGTCCTGAAAATAAGTTTCAAGCCAGACGACTGGGTTTTGGTGTGAAACAAGTCGAAGCAGAAATTTGAGAACACATGGTTCGGCCCGTATAAGGTCATGCAAGCTCATCCACTTGGGACATATGTCCTGGCCGAACCAACCGGGCGTGTTCTACGGAGCCTCATCAACGGTGTCCCAGATTTGGAAGGCGGTCTAAGAAAGGCAGGATGGTGGGGTGTTCATAAAGAACACCCACCTAGTTAATATCCCTTAAGCAAGCATCTGTCCAATGAATATCCGTTTGGCCTTCGGGCCCCAGTCGTCTTTTATGTTTTCGTTGTAACAACGGTGCGAGGCTCACGGACGCAAACGTTGGCGAGGATCCCAGCTTGTGGGCCTCGCTAGCGTCGCTCACGAGCCAGGAAAAAGATTGGCCGCCCTGAGGAACTCCGCAAGATCCTTAATAAGGTCCAGCCCCCTCCGCCAACTTAGGCGGACCTCTCCGCGTTCACACAGGAGGAATAGCAAGAATTCAAGCGCTTAGGCGCTCGCACTGAATTCTTAGGGGAGGAAGTTATGGCTGAACGTGTTATTGCGAAGACACGAGCAGCCGCGCACAAGAGACGGAACGACGGAACCGTCAACAATACACCAGTGCAGAGCCCGCTAGGTACAGACGAGTGGGATTCAGAAGCAAACGACCACAAATCCGAGGACTGGACCCTTTCTGAACATCCACACGGGTCCTTAGGATACGAATCGGCAGAGGACGCTTATCAAGAGCATAAACAAGGCTTAGTCCGAGCCGATTCGTACCCGAAGGACTCGTGTGGTGGGGCACCTACATATATATACCACTGTAGCAAGTCAGTTCCCATGAACTGACTGAACTGACTTTGTCATGAACCTTTCGTCTAATTGGTAAACTCTGTTGTCCAACTTGGTGACCTTCCTTCAGGGCCGAGAAACGAATAAATAGACCGACGGACTACACTGGTAGTGTATACCTTTTTTGAGCTGAATTGTGATGATGATAATTAAATTCATGAATAGATATAGACGCTAGCGACTGGATTCATGATGCCATACCCAAGATCCCAAAGCCATCAAGAGAAACAATCCGCTTTGCCAGGACCTCCAGACAACTCCTTGTGAGCTTAAACGGGAAGTTCCCAAGTTAGGAAATCTGTTGGATTTCAATCTTTCAGGTGTAATGAGAAATCGTGTCGGTAGCTGAATCTGTGACTCGGCTTTCCGCGAGAACCCTGGGAAGTGCTCAAGAATCATCGTGGCCACACGAACCGCACACAAGGCTGCCTGCGGCATCCCGTGGCCACTATACCCAACACAAAGCCATAGTCCATCCTGTAGCTCACCAATCCATGGAGAGCCGTCCTTCGAATAACCCAATATTCCTGTCCATTCATGAGTCACTTTGAAGTCGTTGGGTGCCTGGGCGACGACATCCAAGACCTGGCTCAAGCGACCACGGAGAAATTCATTGGCTGGTTGGTCTATGACGCTGTCATCGCTGAGTCCATATCCGGAATTAGGTATCATGAAGCGCGCTCCCCCAAGTGTCAGAATCGGACTTTTGCCCATCCCGTTCATCTGATGCTCCGACGGCCTCTGCATAAGATACTCCCCGTCACCTACCAAACGTCGATTGGTGCGCTGCAAATCTTTATACTCTTCGCCAGTGAGCTCATCCACGAGGCCGTATGAATTGTGGAGAAGTAGCTCAGCGCCACCGTGACCGGCGATCATGTTCCCACGGACGGGCCGGATAATGTGTTTCATGCTGGGCAACAAGTGCGACGTATACCCATTTGTGGCTAAAAGAACGTGTTTTACCATACAGTTGCCTCGGGATGTGCGCAGACGCCAGCTCCGGGCACTGCTCTCTGCAACAGGCTCAATAGATTGCACAGGGGTGTTAGTTTGAAGGTTAAACTCGGGACGTTGTTCAATGAGGTCTTCCACGACCCGAGCAATCAACTTGTAAGGCCATAGACTTGCAGCAAGAGTGTTCAAGATTGCTCCCTTGGCTTTTGGGACCCCTAGATCTCGCAAACTGGGGCTTTTGCTTTGGGGGGAAACAACACGAAGATACCCCATTATCTCGGGCATGTCGTCTTTGCTCTTTTCAAGCTTTTCAATGGCGCGAGCGAAGTCGTCATCGGTAAAAAAAGCTGTGACGGCGCCTCGTGGCTGCCAGTCACAGTCGATTCCGCAATTCTGAATCATCTGAGAGATGTAGTGATAATTTTGAATTTCTAGCCTCGAGATCTCGGGGTCGCCGCAATATAATGCTGGCTGGCAGTGTCCACCGTTCTGATGCATTGTGCTTCCTTGGTTACTGATAGATCAGGTATGGCCGAGGCTCAAGAGACTACGGCCAAGAAGTCAGGTATGGAACTAACTCACTCTTCCTGTTGCCCCAGAGCCAACCTCTCTAGCTTCAAACATGACCACATTTAGCTTTAGACCCTGTTCGGCGGCGGTCGTAAGTAGTTCGCGCGCCGCAAATGTTCCAGAGATGCCACTACCGACCACAGCAATATCAGCTTGATCGGGAATGACTTCTGTGCTGTCTTAAGTTAATCATATGTTAGCTGTAGCTTTTTGTTTGAAAATAATGGGGGCATACGGTATCCTTTGAGTGATGGTGATAGTTCACTAAGCCAGAAGGACTCTGTGGCATTTGGAGTAGGTAGAGTTGATAGAAGCGCCATTTTAGAAACTGCAGCTTTAAAAACTGGTTTACTTAGCACTCCAGCAATCTGAATTGGCAATACTAAGCATAGCAAGGGCTGTCTGGAGTGGGAATGAATTATATACATGAACTATTTGAAGTGTGAACGTAAGATATTCGGCGTGGGCGCCGCAAGCGCCAAGAGAATTCAATTAAGATCCCAAGGCGGGCCCGGGGGCTACTACTTGCATGAGATACTAGATGCAAGACGGGACATTTCCGTAATTTGGGCTTGCCGATCATGGCATGTTGTCCGAAGCGCTAACGCAATGCTACGTCTCGTTCACGTTCCAGCCTTTGGGTACTGCGTCATTTACAAATCGGACGACAAAAGTAATAATTGGCCCCAACCGACTCCAGCCGTTGCTAGCCTAGTGGTCTGGATATAAATGAGAGCTATCTATCTTTGCATACGACGAGTGGAGCAAGGTTGCCTAGTTCTGGTCCAGATTGTGACCTGGGGGCTTCAAGCGGTAATGTCTGTTCATGTGAGTGGAATCCGGCTAGCATGTGAAATTTGGCCGTGAAACACATTGAATACATTCTAATTCCGAAGCATAGTGACATAGGAAGTGCAAAGCCGTAGATAGGTGTCAACGATGTTTTTGACTGAAGGGCTGAAGTGTACTAATGTAGGCGGATTTGAATGTTGAAGATACAATATTATTGGAGCAGGAATAAACTATCTAGACACATTGATGTTAATTTACGTGTTGAAGGAAAGCCAAAAAGCAATGCTACAACTTCATGCGCGATTTTATTCCATATATCTCATGAAGCCTCCTCTCAAGCCTCGAGTCTCTTCTTCCTTCAACGGAGCTGCTGAACAAAGAAACTTTTGCTTCTCAAAAGGAAGCCGTAACGGAAGAAAATAAAAGGCAATGTCCCCATGATGACACTCAGAACCCCGAATAGCGTCAATGTCCACTGGCTCCCTAGGCGTGCGTACATAGGTATTGACGGTGCGATCATCGCTCCCGCAACAACATAGCGGAGAACTGTAGTACTCGCCAATCCTGATGCAGCGTACGTGGCATAAGTATCGATAACGTACATGTAGAACCCTATATAAATGGTGACGCAGGCAAATCCGAAGAGCACCCCAGCCGCCAGCCCTGACCAAGGACTGATATCGGGGTACGCAGTCCAGCCCAACCAGAATAGGCTGATTGGCAGTGCAATTGCTCCGACCATGGCCATCCAAAGCCTATTCTCAGGGGGGTCGATATCCTGCGCGCCATCCGCTTCACGCCTGGCCTTGTATAGCGCTGCCCATTTTCTCGTGATTGGCATCAGGGTCAGCGGTAAATGCTGGCCAATGAAAATAGCCATAAATGCTGTACCTGTAAGTCCAGAACCCCAATGATAGGTATTCCCAAATATGAAGGGAAATCCATTCAGAAATGTGAAAAACACGACGTAGAGCAGAACCAAATATAGAGCAATGGCGATGATAATGGGCTCTCTCACGAGGAAAGCAAAGGGCCGTTGCATCGCACTCTTAAGGCGCTTTATTAGAGGCTCCCCAGTCACCTCGATTGGTGCTCGATAGCGGCTGTCTTTGGTCTGTGTGCGAATCGAATGGGCTTTCCACTGCAGGAGGACAGGCGCGTATGTCTCGGGGAGAAAGAGAACAATGAGCAACAGTATGACAGCTGAGATACACAGCGTGATCCACTCAACCCAACGCCATGATAAGGCTCCAGAGCTTGCACCTTGGGCAACCCAACCACCAACAACTGGACCGAGAGCAGATCCATCGAATATACCAACAGAGTAAATTGGAACCACAATCACTCTTTCTTCGGGACTCCACAGATCCGCTAGGCTGCCACCGGCACATGTCAATGGGGTGTTGCCAAAGAAGCCAGCCAGGAAACGGAAGATAAGTTGTGCTTCAATGTTGGGCGCCGCTCCAGATGCAGCAATGAAAACCATGAATAGAGTCCTGCAGTCATAGTTAGTTTCCATATTGAGACGAATGTGGAGCTTGTTCTTACATGGCAACAATATATATGGCATTGCGACCAAGTGTTTCAGATATTGGGCCGGCAAGAAGCGATCCAAGACCAAAACCGATAAAGTATAAACCTGTTGCCAGAGATTCAACCGTCTCGCTCACACCAAATTCCACACTCGCATTCTTAGCAGCCGCCGATGTGATGGACCCCGCCCAGCTGACAATAAAACCCACAGATGTGGCCAGGACTGTGCACAGTATGCGCTTGTATAGAGGCCATAAGCGAGGGTTAAGGGACGGCTCAGTGGGTTTGGCATTTACAAGCAAGACATCATCGCCTGAACAATCAGCCAGTGTTTGCAGCTCTGCATCCAAGATGCCTCCATCAGTCCCTAACCTGGTAATATGCCAAAACTGAAGAATAGAAGCCATTGCGGAGTCTGTTTTGATTCGATCTTTGACCAGGGTTTTGTAATTAGGACGTTAAAAGGAAAAGAGCCTTTCGATGATGCCTTCAAATGGGGACAAAGAAATATTTTCCGCACTAAGTGCGGTCTTCATCGCAACAAAGAAAAGCTGATAAGAGAAAATGGGAATTGTAAAGACCCAAAAAGTCCTCACGAAATCCCAGGTTTCTGTAACTATTTTTCTTAGTGAACTAGCGGTCAGAGATCTGCAAGAGATTTCAACAAAAGTAGTAAATGTACTGCGTATTTTTGTCAATATTCAAGCCTCGAAGGGCCCCCCTGTGACCGGGATCTACTGGGATGTGCGTATTCCGCCGCCACTAAGCATCTGGGAGGGGCTGGAACCCGAAGGCAGACCGTTAATATATTCGTAATTGGGACAAAGCTATGTATATAAACAGGGATCTTTGCAGACAATGCTACGGAACTCGGACACCGTCGGCATATAGTAAATTTTGTTCTAGATCACATACTGCGCGAATTATTTCTTCCTTAATCAGTGTGTATTATCGAAAAAGTAAATATGGGGCCATATCGAAGGGAAGACCCATGTTATTACAGGGATCCTTCCGTACAGTGATACCACGAGCTCTCTGGGAGCAATTGGAAGGAGAAAACTAGTTGGTAGGATCAACCTGTCTTTGCTGGATGTAACATGTTGACATGATTCGGTCCAGCACCCCAGGGGCATGCGTGGACTAATCTTCTGATTATTTAACGAAATGGCCACCTCCAGGGATCAAGCTCCATATAAGAAGAGGAGTGTATCGCTATAATTGCCTGTCCATAAAACATACAGTCTGCAATTCTACTCATTCAATCTCACCAACATCTCTACGAAGCTCTACTGTCCATCCCGCGAGGGCTTGCAGTCCTGCGCTATGGTTAAACCTATTATACTCCTCAGGGCAGAGACCAAGCCTCTTGAGCACCGCTCCGCCTTGACGCCGTCATCTATTAAAGCTCTGATCAGCGCAGGATACACTGTGAAATGCGAACGCTGTGACAAGAGATGCTTCCGCAATGAAGAGATGGAGGTCGCTGGGGCAATTCTAGTCCCCACAAACTTCTGGGTAGAAGCACCTCTTGACCACATTATTGTGGGCCTGAAGGAGTTGATGCCTTCAGATAACTTCGCCCTCGAGCATGTTCATTTGCATTTCGCGCATGTCTTCAAGGAGCAACAAGACTGGACCAAGGTCTTGCTTCGCTTTGCCCGTGGAGGTGGCTCTCTGCTGGATATCGAATTCCTTAAAGATCATGTTGTTAGAGATCGCCTTTTGGCTCCCACTAGCTTCTATGCTGGATTTTGCGGAGCTATTCTGGCTATACAAGCGTGGACTCACCAAATTTTGCATCCGGAAGAACCAGAGCTTGCAGAAATTCTGCCATATGAAAGCGAGTGCAAAGCAGTCGAAGACACCATTTCCCACTTACTGGATGGAGTCAAGGCTATTGGCCGTCCACCAACAATCATGATTGTGGGAGCCCTCGGAAAGTGTGGCTTAGGAGCTGTGGACCTATGCCAACGTCTTGGGTTAGACTCCCAAAGCATCCTTCAGTGTGGCCGAGTAGAGACCTCGAAGCCGATATTTGCCAAGCAAGTGCTGCAAGCCGACATACTCATCAACTGCATCTATCTTGTTCAAGGCATCGAACCATTTGTCACAATGGATGCATGTCGAGAATTCAATCGGCGTCTGTCCGTTATTTCCGATGTGAGCTGTGACAGCGAAGACCCTGGTAATCCCATTGCCATTTACTCTGGCCGTAGCACTTTCAAGCGGCCGAGTATTATCGTTCCTACCAGTGAAGGTCCTACGTTGAGTGTCATCTCGATCGATCACCTCCCGAGTCTAATTCCCAGAGATGCGAGTGAATATTGCGCAAACCAGTTATTGCCCAGCCTCCTCAAACTCGACGAGTGGCAAACAGCAGATGAATGGAGAATGGCTCGAGAGCTGTTCGAGAAAAAACTCAAAAAAGCAGTGGAGGTGGAAAAACAAGCACCAGGAGGGTTTTCGCAGCTTGCACCAGACTCGAACCCATCTCCAGATCTTTTCATCGGGAGTAGCAGTGTGTCTGTTGGTGACCAGTCAAGCACTTCAAGTGTATCATCTCTGATGTCAAAATCGAGCGTAAAGCCTGACGAGTTGCACAATTCACCACTCGAAATTGAGAAAACCGTTAGCCCTCCACTTGATACTCTTGACCCTTGGACGTCATGTTTCAAAGATGACTTTGATACCGAAGCTGTCCATGCAGGCCACAGAAAACATGACCTAGCAACAGGCGCAGTATCCATGCCCATCACCATGTCATCAACGTACGCGCAAGCGGCCGCTGACACGGTAGGAGAGTACGTGTACTCCCGCAAGGCAAATCCAAACCGGAGTGATTTCGAAAGATCCGTGGCGGCACTTGAACAAGCCAAATACGGACTTGCATTTGCTTCCGGCTCGGCGGCTATCGCAATGGTTGTCCATATGCTCGAGCCATACAGTAACATTATCGCCATTGCAGATACGTATGCCGGTGAGTACTTTAGAGCTTGCTACAATGCGACGACGAAATATGCTGATACGAGTATTTTGCGAGTAGGAACTCAGCGGACCTTCACGGTCATGGCCAAGTCACTCTGCATCTCAACCACTTATGTTGAGGGCAAAGACCTCTCCACAGACCTTGGAAATTATGTCACCGCGCGAACCAAAATGATTTGGATAGAGTCGCCCAGCAATCCGTTGCTTCAGATTGTCGACGTCCGGGCAATCGCTACCCAAGCCCATCGTATGGGTATCCTAGTGGTAGTCGACAATACTCTGGCGTCCCCTTTCATCTTCAACCCTCTAGTACACGGAGCAGATATCACAGTGCATTCGGCTACTAAGCATCTGGCCGGCCACAATGACGTGGTTCTAGGTGTCCTGGCTACCAATTCCAAGGAGATGCGCGACCGCCTGGCATTCCTGCAGAACGCCATCGGTGCTGTTCCTTCGCCATTTGACTGCTGGCTTGCATCTAGAGGCCTCCGAACCTTCCACCTACGCATCAACCGAGCTAACAGCAATGCACAAGCCATAGCGGAGGCACTGAAGAGCTCACCTCATGTCATCGAAGTGATGTATCCAGGGCTGGAATCACACCCCAGACGCGAGATAGTCAAGAAACAGCACAACCATGGTGGTGCTGGAGGTGGTCTAGTTTCTTTCCGAATCAAGGGAGGTTTCAAAGCCGCGGAACACTTCTGTCGGTCCTTGCGCTTGTTCACTCTCGCCGAAAGCTTTGGGAGCGTACAGAGTCTTTGCGAAGTGCCAGGCCCCATGACACATAAGCTTCTGACACCTGAGCAGAGGGCAGCAATTGGTGTTTATGACGATCTGGTGAGACTTAGTGTGGGGGTTGAGGCTCCTAACGATCTCATCGAGGATGTTCTCCAGGGGCTGCAGACAGCACGTGCTAGATAAAAATGTGGGCTATTCCCGTTAAGATGGACGGACATCTTAAATAAAGCCTACTGGTAGTTATAAACTCATCCAACGGTCGCAGGGTAACTTTGATAGGTAAATAAACATACCGCGAAAACGTCCAAACTAGTACGATTCACCTGTACTAAAGCTTCCTTATGGTTACTATATTTACTAACCCTACTGATTATTTTCTACCCAGCGACCCTGCGAGCCAAGAACTAGTAAATAGTACCATGTAACATACCGGTAACAACCTGGTAACCCTGCATACATATGTAGAATACTAGTAATAACTAGTACCATGTACCCTGCGACCCTACGAGCATAGTATTCGATTTAGGGGACCCTACTGAGAGGTGTTACGACGAGAGCATAAAAGACTGGGACCCGAAGGCCAAAAGGATATTCATTGGATGGACGCTTGCTTGAGGAATATCAGCTCGGGTGGGTGTTCTTTATGAATGCCCCACCATTCTACGTTAGTAGACCGACCCCGGGCGCTCCGCCGCAGAGGACTTTGGAGGCATTCATCTCGTATATGATGTACCATTACCCTCCTATAGTGGCACCTACCACACATAAATCAAACTTGGGATATGAAATGGGGAATTGTTATTTAATCCCCAGCTCCTTCTACCCAAAAGCCTTTACCCTTCAGTTCATTCAACGCACTACTTGATTTGCCAGTGTCGCTTTTCTTTTTCCTTTAACTTTTTGACTCGTTCTTCTGTTATAGGTCTTCAGGAACTATGGCATCGCCTTCTTGCAACACCCACTTTAGTCATTTACAAGTGCCAGATGGTTATGACTGGACCATGAGTGACTTCGGCTAATCCCAATTTGCCCCTATTACTTATCAGTCATCTACCTCTATACTCGCTGAGCCGTCTATGGCATCTGCGGATCCTCTTCTGCAAACCCATCCCATATAGTATCTTGCATCCATTGCGCCTAGCATCAACTGTATCTTCTGCCTCAACCAGAATGCCATGCACCAATCTCCAATCAATAATGACTGTGCAGCCACGGCCCCGGCGACAAGCTATCTTGGCCCTAGGCACGACACCGCTTGCGCAATTTACCAGCAGATGGTTCATCTGTTTCCAAGAGGTCTCAGGTCAAAGTTACCAGCAAAAGGTATGTCAAGGGAAAGAGAGCTTCTGGTTGTAACCAAGGACGACAGCAGAAACAGGAGTGGCCAACCTTAGGATTCATCATCAAGCTTTAATACTCACTAATAACGTTTCTTCCATTTTAGAAAACCTCAACCGTCTTTCCAATGCCATTGGAAGGAATGCAAATACCCGCGACCCCTTCTCCGGAAAACCAGCGTTGATGCGTCATATCGACACGTAGCATATAAATCCGCGCTCATTCGATTGTCCTTCATGCGGCATGTCCTTCAATCAAAAGGACAACATGACTGAACACCTAGGAGGAGTTCATTGGGAACGAGTTTAATGTCGATGCTGAGTGAGCGGTGTGGTTCGGGTTATGGACCGTAACGTGTGTTAGTGATAGCCAAAGATTCGGTATTTCGATGAATGTCGGTGTCTGAAGGGATATCCGTAATTTAATTGTGCTGAATTGACTTTCTTCGTCTTTTTCCTTTCACTTGGGCGCGTGCGAGGGAAAGCCGAATGGCCCTCAAGAGGTTTGGATTTCCACGCACCAGGTTTCAACCCTTGGCAATAGACGCATCCAATGAGAAATCTCCAACATCAAGTCAATTCCTTGACACAATGCACTCACTTACTCTATCTCTGTAGTCGAGAATATAAATAAGTACGTTGAAATGTGTGATAGTCCAAACAAATAAAAAGAAGCAAATTATATAGATAATCACGTGCACGCTAAACCCATTGAGGCAACCCATCTGCGGACAAAATCCAAAGTCCGCAACGCAGGCAGCATCCGACAACACGCGCAAATCACAATGTCGTGCTCCATACCCCAACGCTGCGCCCGCCAGCTTCTTCGAGAGCCCTTCCAGCGCGGTTCCCTACCCATCTTCCTCGCACCCGCCTTTTCTCCCCACACACGATGCTTTTCGACCACATCCCCGGCCCAGTCCCGAGTCGGAGGTGCCGCGCTCTCCATCCCCCCGGAGGTGTCATTCAAGCTCATCGATATCCCTGCGACTCTTACCCGGACACGAGGAAAGGATATCCCCAAATTTGTGGCTGAGATTAAGGGACCTAAGGGTGAATTGTTATTGCTGAAATATGGCCCGGCCGATGGATGCTAACTACTCTGATTCCCAGGCGAGATGAGCCTGAACATTCCCTCGTTCGTCACTATCACCCACGATGAGACAGCAAAGAAGGCTAGTTTGTCAGTTGAGGATACGACGGTTCCTCACCAGCGTGCTATGTGGGGTATGTTCTCCTGCCTTCTCTCCGCGGCAAGTCATTGCTGTCTAACACTCTGCTTTTCTATCCAGGAACTGTTCGCGCACTCCTCCAGAACCACATCCTCGGTGTTTCCGAAGGCCACGTCTGTGTCTTGAGTATGGTTGGTGTTGGTTACAGGGCGACCATCGAGGACAAGGCGTCCACCGTCCAACCCGCTTACCCCGGCCAAAAGTTCGTTTCCCTCAAGGTCGGCTTTTCCCACCCAATTGAACTGGGTATCCCCAAGGGCGTTGTGGCGAGCACACCGCAGCCTACTAGAATCCTATTGGAGGGTGTCGACAAGCGGATTGTGACCCAGTTCGCGGCCGAGATCAGAGAATGGAGACGCCCCGAGCCGTACAAGGGCAAGGGTATCTTCGTCAACGGAGAGACTATCAAGCTCAAGGCGAAGAAGATCAAATAGACTGGAGGCGCATTTCTTTTCAGCCACGCGGGACATTTTGTGTTTGGTTCCGTGTTTTGTACTCTTATGGTCACATATGTACTTTTTTATTCCTCTCACAAGCGATGGTATCACAAAATCACAAATCTACTTCAGACTGATTCTGCTCCCCAGGAGCTAAAGCGCAGTGGACGAGGCGACGAAATTGAACATCATAAATCAATTACAGCTTCAGAACGGTCTTGACGGCAGCAATGACCTGGTCCTGGTGGGCCTTCGGAGCAGCAACGACACCCTTGTTGACAGCCAAGGTCCGGCCCTTGCTGAAATCCAAGCGGTTGCCGTAAATGTCAGTCACCTGGCCACCAGCCTCGCGGACGATCAAGTCACCAGCAGCGTGATCCCAGATCTTCTCCTGGTAGTCCTTCTTGACGGGGAGACGCAGGTAGACGTCACCGGCACCACGGGCAATGGAGCAGTACTTGGCCTGCGAGTCCAGTCGCACACTCGGAGCGGTGATGCCAAGAAGCTGAGCAACGGCAGCGTTGTCGCCTTGAGCGGAGTGCGCAGCCTCAACGCCTTCGCAGAAGACAGCGTCGGAGATCTTGGCGACGGGACGCATGGAGATGGGCTTGCTGGCAGCAAGAGTACCACTGCCCAGAGGACGACTGGTGGCACCCTCACCCAGGATAGCAGAGAACAGGACACCGTTTCCGGCAGTCGCGGACTGCTGCGCACCGGTGCTGGCATCAATTGGGGCAGCATCGTCGACGGGGAGGTTAGGAGTACCAATAGCACCGACCTTGACGTCACCGTCAACCATCAGACCAAGACACACGGCGTACTGGCCGCCACGGAGGAAGCCCTTGGTGCCGTCGATGGGATCGAGCGCCCAGATACGGCCCTTAGGACCACCGGCACTGTTGCCGTTATCAATGATGTCCAGCATGCTCTGCTCACTGGTGAGAGGGCCACCCAGAATATTATCGCTCTCCGCATCGTCCAGCTTGATGTCCTTGACCAAGCGCCAGATCTCAGCGCTGAGGTCTTTGTCTTCACGCAAGGAGCTAGCCTCCTCCTCGGCGACGATCTCGTCATTGGGGAAGTTCTTGCGGATGGCCGAGATGATGAGGGCCTGAGCGCCGAAGTCGCCAATGGTAACGGGGGACTTGTCGTCCTTGGAGACTGTGCCCTTGGCCTTCTCGAAGAAGACCTTCTGTGTCAGGAGGCACGCCCGCTGGACGGCCAATTCGGCGATATAACGTTCCTGTTGGTAAGACATGATTGTAGGTTGGTTGGATGAGAGGTGGGGGAGGAGGAGGGAGAGACGAGAGCGGGATTTCAGAGCCACGCTGATGCCCAGGAGAAGGGTGGAGCAGACCACGAAGCGGGACAGTACGCGGAACAAATAGGAGCGAGGAGATGGATCTGTCCGGTGTGCAGACGAAAGCTTCATCCAAGATCAAATGGCAAGAAATGTAGCCAGCATTGACTACTCTTGCTTTCTGGGCGTCTTATTGGTTACTACTGGTCTGCTAAAGTCATGAATGACCTCTTTCTCATAAATCGGCCTCAGGCACCTGACCCCGCCCTAATCCCTTTTGGGCCGGAATAGTCACGAGGAGCCGATAAGCTTAAACTGTCTGAACATTGTTTGAACTCTCCCTTCCCCTGTAACAAGGCCGTTTTACAATTTGGAAGACTTTTTGAACAGATCGGGACCTGGCTATCTGTCCTTTCTCCATTCGCGGCACTTTTCATTGCGCTTATCAGATTCACGGGCGCCAAGACCCCCTAGGTCCTCCGACGTCACCGACACCACGTGAAGGTATCGCGAAAGCTCCCTGAACCCTTATGTTGTCTTTCACACCGTTAATTCCTTTTTGGCATCTTTCTAGCAAATCAACTTGCATCCTATAACCGCTGATACCCATACCTACCCAAATTTCTGCTCAACCGTTTGTGTAAACAGCGCCGTGCGGGGTCATTTCTATAGCGACATCACAGCGTGGGGTGATTGTGGGCTGTTTGATCTCCGGGATATATTTCAATTCCTCAACCCTGTTGCTACTCAAACCGAGCATAGACATTGTTCTGGAGGCTATCCCCTTAAGTAGGCCAGGATGTTCCAATCCTCCGTGAGTCATCCAGTGAAGATCGCACACCCTTAAGCACCGACTCTGATATGGCTTTCATAGAAACCGTATTCGGCAGTGACCGTGCAAATTGAGGTCCTTACGAGCGAACAATATGAAGTCGAAGACTCGAGCGGCATCGTCGATTTGGTGGAAGTAGTTCGCATCCAGGCCAGCGGCCCGATGGAGGCAAGTCGGGCTCTTCGTAAGAAGCTGTGAGTCTATGAGTATTGACTGTGCTGAAAATCAATCTGACAAGTTCAGAAAATATGGCAATATCCACCGACAACTGCGCGCACTTACTATTCTCGACTTCCTGGTTCAAAATGCAGGAGAACGCTTCTTGCGCGATTTCGCCGATGAGGCGTTGCTCGAACGTCTTCGAATTGCAGCTACTGATTCCGTTTCGGATCCACTCGTGAAAGAGAAATGCAAGCAGATTTTCGGACAATGGGCGGCGACTTATAAGGACACTCCTGGTATGGCGAAGGTCACCGCGCTATACAAGCAAGTTCCCAAGCGAAAACAGCCTGCGACGCAAGCAAAAGCCAAAGTTCTCCGCGAGGGCAATACAAACTCAAACGAGCCTCCAATGGGTCATGTTGTATCCGTGTCAGCGGGCAGTGGACCATCCACTGTGCTAACCAGTCCCAAAGAAAAGTCCAAGTCCAGGAAAGTCAAGAAAGACAAGAAACTATCAATTAGCCACAAGAGGTTCGATCTGGAAAAGGAGCGCCCGCAGATCTTGCAAGCGCTTGCTGCGTCTTCCGTCGCTAGCACCAACCTGTTGAATGCTCTTAAACTCGTCAATCGTGAGACGCACAGAGTGAGTGAGGATGCGGAATGCAGTAATCGATTCGACACATGCAAGCAGCTTCGTCATGAGATCCTTCGATATATCCAGTATATAGAAACCGAAGAGTTCCTGGGCGGCCTGATCCATGCAAACGAGGAGCTGGTGGATGCATTGATGGCATTCGAGGTGTTAGACAAGAGCGTGGACTATGACAGTGATAGTGAGGACGACATTTTGGAAGGAAATTGGAGGCAGAGACATGGACTTGGACTGCAGGACACGGACGTGAATGACGGCCTTTCTGGGCTTAGTATCAACCCTCCAAAGCCACCACGGCCGAACCGTCCTGATAGCCTGCCTCTTGCTTCTTCGTCGCAACACACACGCCAAATATTTGAGAGCGAGAGTGAGTCAGAAGAAGAGGATGATGAAGACAACCCCTTCGGGGATAGGAATGCTATTAAGACCCCGGCCATTGAGAAACCTGGACTTACTTGGTAAGTCAATCTCCCTCTCCATTACACCTCAGGTTATTAATGTCCCTACAGGAAAGAGGTCTGATCTATGTGGTTACAATTCTGAAGTTTGGATTATCTTTACCTTCGGGATTTACGGTTTTGGTTTCTTTCATACATCGTCTGGTCTTGTGCTTGATCGGTATACCCAAAGCCATTGGCTATCGTGTTGATGAGAGGTTGAAATCCATTTTGATCGCTGGTGTCCCGGATGTGTATATTCTTAAATCAATTGGATATTGATTGCATTGCAATTGATGTGAACCTTTTTTTTGGGCTTTCTTTGAAAGAAATCTGTAGCTTGTAGCCTTGAAATCCAACATTCTAAGACATCCACTGGTGACAAGGCCAGGCCCAGTCTTTGCATGACCGATTAGCCGAATAGCGAGAATCAGCAAGATGACGCCAGCAGCTGCCTGCGAAAGCGCCCCCACCCTGACTCGGTCTTCGACCTTTACTGGTAAACCCCGACAGGACTAGATAGACATTTAAAACAGCGTGCAACCCCCAATATTGGAGGGGAAACCAGACTCATTCCATCTCATTTATTCAAATAGACGACACAATGCCGGTAACCGAACTCGCCCTCCTCCGCCTGAAAGTGCAAGACCCCTCATCTTCTACCAAAAGCACTCTCCTAGAAGCCCAGAAAAAACAGACGGAATACTCAGGCTATCCTGTCACATACCTCCGCCAGATCGAAGACCCACTGTCCGTTTATCTGCTGGGTGGGTGGGAGTCTGTCGAGAAACATACAGGCGAAGGCCAGTGGCTTTCACTCGAAATCAACCAGAACCTACTCGTGCAGTTGAAGGACAGTGTCGATGTTGGTTGGATGTTCCACTTAGATGTTGATGTGAGTATTTCAATCTTGCCGAAGAATTAACTTCGCAGTTCTGGGGCGCTGTCAAAAGAGTATCAGCTAACGGACTCAGGCATCTGCATCCAAAATCCCGCTAGATGCACCTGTTCTCGCTATAACTCGATTCTTTGTCGAGCCAGGCAAAAAGGATGAATTTGACGCTGTCTTCAACACTGTTGTGTCTCATTTGAATGCCTACACGGCCCCGTTCTCTTCTTGCGGTGCGTGGCGTATCGATAAAGAGGGGGAAGATGAGGAGTTTGTTCTTTTCAGTGGGTGGAACGAAGTCCAGGATCATCTTGCTTTCGGGGAGTCTGAGGGTTTTAAGGAGTTTGGGAAGCTCAGGGCGTTGATGAAGGACGGGGATGTTAAGCATATACGTGTTGAGAAGTGGGAGTAGGCTACTATGTACTCTCATTCATGTGGTATCTCTAGTGAGGTTAGAATATTATATTATGCCTTGGGCACGGATGTACCATTGAGGATAAATTGGACCATTGCCTTCCTACCATCCAGTTTGAGTGGAGCCTCTATATGCATAGCACCAAGCACATCTTTCCTCTGGATCTCCAAGCCGAGAGACCTGGCATGTTGTTCTAACTGGTCTGGTACGTACGGTGGAACGACTTCATCTTTGTCGCCAGATATAAGAAAGATCGGCGGAAGCGAGCGAGGTATTGATGGCGTAGCTTCATTGGGGATTTGAGACCCAGGTTCGTCTCTCCATGTAGCCATTTCTTGCATCTTCGCCTTGATATCCCATGTATTCCAAGAGAACGGCCAGAGATATCTGTATGGAAGCCATTTCTGAGGATAGAGGCTAATGAGCATATCTTTAATGCTAGATGTTGGCGCCTCCAAAATGAGTCTCGAAATGGGCGCCAGGGGCCTGTTACTGCTTGTATTTGAGGTTTGCCCCTTGTGTTGGCGGGCAAGATATGCAGACACTGCTGAGCTTGCAACAGCAGCACCTAGGCTGTGTCCCCAAATCACAATCTCAAGATCGGTTACCGGGGATGCATATGTCTCTGAAACCCACTTCAAGAATGCCTGGGCATCCATCTCAATCCCGGACTGTGTGGCGCGGCCAGATGATGTCCAGTAACCGCGGTATGATAGAGCAGCGATAGTATATTGAGAAACTTCGGCGCCAGGCATAGGTGGTGAAGTTGATCTTGCCGTTTCCGTAATCGCGCGCAAGACATGAGAGAGAAGAGGCAACCGCATAGGGGTTGATCCTCCATTGCCTTGGAAGTAACAGATCACAACGGACTTCTTTTGTTTTGGAACCAGTTTCGCCTGGTCTTTATTCCGTGAAGCATTACGATTCAATGAGGACATAGTATCCTTTGGAAGAATCGGAATGTGACCCTCACAAACAGCCAATTTAGTCCCGTCCAAGCTTCGAATCTGCTTCTCCTCCCACTGTACCGGTCTGCATTCAGCCTTGTAATCTGAAATTGCCTCTGACCTTGTGAATGGAGGCAGCCAGGAGAGATACAGGAGCTTGTTTTGCATGACGATGATCCAGAAGCATTTCCAGGTCCATAGACCGAGTAGGAGCCCGATGAACATGAGAGGTGGTACAGCAATGCTTGGAATAGCCTCTGTCACGAGGCTTCGTGATTGAATAATATTTAGGCTGGTACTGCGCAGGCCATTGATGCCATTGGCCGGGATGTTGTTACAAGGATTTGGTGATGGCTGTCGCGTGCGGGTTGATATTGCTCTTGAGTTTGAACCGCGCAGTGCGCGTCGCAGGACCCAGCGCGCCAGCATTAGCAGAAGGTTGGCAGGTAATTGGGTTCGAGGTTGTTGGATGGTTGCGATTTACTGGTGGAGCCTCGGGGCCAGAGCGGCGAGCTGGGCCTTGACTCAGCAATTCTAAGGCCCCTCTAGCGTCTAAGGCTGAATATAGTCAGTATGATGAAGCGCGTTCCCGCTCAATTAATAGCGTTTCTCTTAATGATTTGATATAATTCGGTTCTATTGAGATAGGAGAATCGTTTCATTCTATCACCCCACCGAAAGATATGTAAAAAGTAGATTCAATTTAAATCACAGACAAGATATATTGCTTTTAGAGCTTCCGAACAAGATCGAAGCCCTAACGCGCGATGAAAATGTTGGCATTGTGAATATTCAAATGGGTATTGTGAGTCGTCATCTGGAGTCATGATATGAAAAAAGAACAACAAAACGCAACCGCATGAACAGAAAAGGAAACATGAATCTCTTCCCAAGACGCCAAAAGACCAAAACCGCAAGCCATGCAGTGATGCACAATGATTTCTCACAGGACCTTCGATCTCATCCACTCACTCGTGCCAACTCCAAGGTTCAGCCCATTCCGCTCCCACCAACGCCGAACACGACCCTCAGCGCCAGAGCTCGGGTCAGCATCCTCAAGCGCTTCCTCAATATCACAGGTCTTGAATTCAACACGCATACCGCAGCTTTTCCACCACTGCAGGACGTGGTCGTGGCCGTTCTTCGTCGGGCCCACCAGAACCTGGTTATCGAAGATCATCTTCGGGCCTTTAAGTTTATACCAGAACTCAAGGACATGGACATGGCCATGCGTGCTCGCGATGCGGGCAACGTTCTCGGCGTGGCTGTAAGGGATCCCTGATGCGTCCCACCAGGCAAGGGATGCGGTGCGGCCCGACTGCGCTGCGAGCAGGACGGATTTGCCGACTTTGAGAGGCAAGGGATTGGAGAGTGGGGCATTGGAGGAGGCAGTTTTCCACCAGTCGAGCACGGCGACTCGACCTTCGGCGCTGGCGGCTTCGAGGGCACGCTCGCTGTACCGTAGCGGGAGTCCTGAGTGGAGCCACCAATCTAATACGTCGATGAACCCGGCCCGGGAAGCGCCGTCCATGGCGTCGGCCATGTACTCTTTGTTTGGGAGAGCGGGCGCATCACGCCACCATGTCAGTACGTTCGGATTGCCGTAGATCGCGGATGCTCGGTATGGAATATTTGTGAGTCGAGAAGTTGTCCAGAGGAGGTCCAGGTGGTTTTCTGTGAGATAGGAAAGGATGTCGGTGCGGGAGAATTTAACAATGAGGTGGCAAGCAAGGTCGGACAGCGGTTTCCAGCGAGGCAGGGCATCGATGCGTTTTTTAATTGCGGCGAAGGACCCTCGCAGGATAGTATATTCGAGTGTGGCCGTGGTGGACATCTTAGGTAGATGACTCTGCCATTCTTGGGGGACAGGGAGATGAGTTGGAATGCCCACGGCTTTCGCTATTTCCCAGTCTCGCACTTGATCCTCAAAGACATTCAGCCAGATCTCCAGTGGTAAAAAATCGGCATTGCCTGTATGTGGCGTCTGTGGCGTGGAGCCGGTGGCATTTCCAGATGTAGATTTTGATGCCATTTTAGCCGGAACCGTAGCGCTATGGGGGATTGATCTGGTCGACAGGGTAGCTTCCCACGGCGGTAATTTTAATGTTGTCTCCAGTGTCTGGTGTAACTCCTCCAGCCCGTCCCATGGCAGTATCGTCAAGTCTTCGGGCCCGTTTGACTTCCAGAGCACAGGCTTGACAGTGCGAATCCAAGGCCAAAAACGACCGATTTCATCGAGTTGCCGAGTACTAAGCGGGTGGTCCCATTCCGACACCGTCATTCCTGGAATGAGGATCACGGGTTTCTTCGAGACCCAGCCACGAAGGAGCGCCAACGTCAAGGTATTCGTCAAGCCGGCCAACATCGCCCCGAGAGCTCCGGCATCGATAGGCGCAACCAAGAGCATGTCCGCCCATTCGCACAGCTCCGCTGTCTTCGCCTTGAGCCATTTCCGCGCACCGGTTTTCTTATCAAATGTTTGGCTGTCGACCGTATCCATGTAGTGTGGGATCTTTTTGGTGCCGGTGAGCAAAGCGGATGGTTCGTCTGTTATCAGTCGTAGCTCGATGTATGGGTTCTGAACGAGGGACGGCAGGACGGTATCGGCGAAAGCACTATCCGTTGACAAAAGCAATCGGCGGCGCCGGGGATTGGATGATTTCGCATTTTGCACCGCTTCGTTTCCAATCACGGTTTCCTTACAGCCTCCATCCACCTCCATATCACCTGACCTCGACCCCTTCGTAATGCTATTGCCTTTTGTGATTGAGGAGATATCAGATCGAAATCCGACTGTCATGCCCAATGTGACCAAATGTGGGCTCCACTGTATGAGGATAAGGGCGGTCGGATAGAACGTAGGAACGGTATAGGTAGGCGCAAATAGTAAAGAAGAATCGAGAGGATCGAGAGCAAGGATGAAAGAAGATCAATTGGAAACTCGTACTGTACAAAGAGATAAGTTATCAGACTGGTGGTCTGATGAGAGCCCAATCATGCAACCCAGGATTGAAATGGAGACTCTTTTTTGTGCAACGATCAACCCGTTTTCCTCGAGCGGTAAGGTCGTTGTGTTGTCTGGATGCGTCGCCACGTCGTTGCCACATTCGACGTGATGAGCTACCGAATGAACCGTGTTGTTTCACAGCGAAAAAAATGCCGAGATTCTCATTCGAATGTGGAGATTAACCAATGATGGAGAGCCAAAATGCTAGTTCGAGGGCCTATAACGGTTAAAGACGGGGCCGCATACAGGAAAGGGGCAGGTTGATTGGCCAGTTGTTGGCAGAAGCGGTCACCCCCTTAGTCTTTCTCTTACTATTTTTCATTTATTCATTTTCCTAAATTAAACAGGGCGTTTATAGTACTGTAACGGTACGTTCAATGTAATATTATGGAAAGGACCCTTCCGGCATAAGTTGGTCTTATGGTCTAGTGGTTATGACTGTGGATTTTGATATCTTATTGAAAATCTTCCATCGACCCCGGTTCGAACCCGGGTAAGACCTCTTATTTTCTATTTTTTTTAATCTTACTAAATCTTAAAGACTCGTCTTGGCGTCTATTGGTCGCTATGTGGGGAGAAAATTAAAACTTCTTAGCCACCTCACTTTCAATTGACTACTTAGATCTTCTTCTAACTATATAGAACCTCGTGAAACTCGAGGCTCTATAGCCGCGCCTATCATCCGGCACTCGCCCCTATATTACGCCTATACACGCCTAAATATAGCTGTACGGCCCCTCTTGTAGGATGTATATGACTTAGCCAACCTCGTCCATAAAAATGATTGAAATTTTAATTTAGATGGTCAAAAAAGCGCCTCCTTCAACCCTAATTTTATTAACTTTTATCATCCATGTTGGTTGGGTTTTAGATGTATACATATATATATTCCACCCGAGCGGCCATATGGAGATTACCTATTGAATCGATATCGCTTCATGTATCACTGGTTTGATGTCGTGCGGGTCGGCAATGATGGCGGCCTAAGTTAACCCATTTACAGAACCAGCTTTTCTATAAATTTATCTAGAAGTACATTAGTCCTTAGCACTATAGATAGTTCCTTCTCTCTCTCTTCCTTTCCTCTCTGCGTTTCGCGCAAAAAAATCGTAAACTTGGCTTCCTGTGCGTCACCTGACAGTCTATTGGTCTTATGGTCTAGTGGTCATGACTGTGGATTTTGATTCTTATTCGAAATTCTTCCACCGACCCCGGTTCGATCCCGGGTAAGACCTCTTATATTGTTTTTTCTTTTTTTCTTTCATCCCTCCATCAGGGATGCCTAAGGTCTATAAGAAACTGTAAATAAATAACTCAGCGAAATTATGGATCGATATATTTTTGTAAAGCTTGGCTTAGCGGGATGCTCTGCGAAATAACAAAAATTTCCATGGCAGGGCAACTACCGACAAACTCATTTTTTGCTTGACACTTTCATTAACCCCTATTTAGGCGTGTCTACACGACCGCAATTCTTAACCGGTGTAATTATTGTGGTATTATACTATATAGAAATTATTAATGCTATACAAATGAAGTGATGATAGATAACGCCATTTATGCCTACGATCATCCAACATGTGCTCTTTGTTCAGAGTACTTCAGTACAACTTCGCCAAGTACTTGTTTCAAAGGACTTTCTTTTCTATTGGTGTGTTCCTATACTAACTGCTGCTGGGTTGTTTAGTTCAAGTCAGTTCAGACATGCGAACCCCGACACCATGGTACAAAAGGGAGTCGAACTAGGTCAACCCCTGCCAAGGTGCTTTGTCTATATGCCGATCTGTATAACCTAGCACTTTTCTATCAATGCCCAATGTTCACTCTATCGTCGGGCCAGATTGTTGTGCAGCTTATGCTCTCTCATGGCGAGACTCGCCAATGCTCCTAGGACAGCCAGGCCCAACAATGTCACGAATACCGCCCGCAAGGAGTCCATATATGCGTCAAGCACTCCGGGTGTTAAGGCTGGAGGCATCTTCCAAATCTCATCTAAGCTATCCCGAAGCCGTCCAATTAGCTCCTTGGCGTCCTCGCGCTCACCGAATCGAGACCAAAGCCCAAGCTTCAGGGTGTTCTGGAAGACAGCTGAAGCGACCGTGATACCGATCGTACTTCCAGTGCTGCGGAAGGCATATGAAGCAGATGTCACAACCGCATGGTGCTGGTGGTCTACAGAAGAGATGAGCGCCACCAGGGTGATGGTAAGCATGCTACCGTAGGATGCACCCCCCAGGAAGAAATACAGGAACGGCAGTCCCACGGGCGTGTAGAGATTCAAAGTGCAGATGAGACCAGCGGAGAGAACCTGGACAGCCATGGCAACATAATTGAGAAATGCATACCGACCGCTGGCACGCATGATGATACCCGATCCCAAAGAGCCAATCGAGGTGCCGATCGCCTGCGGGATTAATCGCGCACCCGCGGCGGTTGCAGAAAGTCCCTGCACCTGGAAGTAGACAGGTAGGTAAAAGAGGAGGCCAAATACGGCCATGGTACTGAACCAATTGGTCAGACAGGCAGCTGCCACGGTGCGGTATAACAGAAGGCGCACGGGAATGACAGGCTCAGAAGCGACCTCAGCTTCCACGTAGATGAACAGACCCAGGAAGACAGCAGAGGCGACCAGCGATGTCAGCACCAACGGGTGGGTCCAGGGCACCTGGTTTCCGCCGGTGTTGAGGCCAAGCAATAATGTGACCAGTGTCAGAACCAGGGTGATAGCCCCGAGGAAGTCAACGCGTTTGATGCGTGCGGTATCCGAGTCTTTCACGGGAATGTTGACTTTAATTGCAACTAGAACGCATGAGATGACCAGGAAGGGGACCTGGAGTAAGAACGCCCATCTCCAACCCATAGTGTCGTTGATCCACCCGCCAAACACACCTCCAAGTCCCATACCAGCGCCGTAGCAGATGTTTCCTATGCCCTGCCAGATACCTCGTTTGCGGAGAGGGACTAAGTCCGAAGTGACAAAGGTCGAGATCGCTGTAAGGCCCCCTCCTCCGACACCTGCCACGACGCGACCAAGGATAATAACCCATTGCGCTCTTGCCAGGCCACAGATCAAGTTGCCAAGGGCGAAGAAAACGTTGGAGAACACAAGCCCCCAACGACGAGAGTAAATATCAGTCAACCGGCCACTGAGAGGCTGGCAGGCAGCATTGGAGATCAGATAAGAAGTGGCTAGCCACGAAAGCAGCGAGAATGAGTTGAAGGACGAAGAGATGGGGGCGGAGAGCGTGGCGACAATCGTTGTATCTGCAATGAAATTTAAAGTTAGTAATTTTGTTTCTCTTGAAAGAGTTGAAGTGAATACCGAGAGCAGCCAGGAAGACACCGAGCCAGATGCTTCCGAGGATCCAGATCAACTCCTTAGTACTGGGTTCCTGGGGTAGTGGGGTATTTTCATTGGCATCGCCACCGGGTGAATCCCGAAGGAGGGGCGTTTGCTCGGACGGCTCTCTGGCAATGTCACCTACAGACATGTTGTAATGTCCAAAGGTGAACGGAAGTTCTTTCAGCAGAAAGATTGCCAATGATGTGATCGGGGTTCGGCGGAATCTCCGAAGGGAGTGGAGAGACGTGGGGTCCAATATAGTAGAGCGGGTGTATTATTGGTTGGTACATATAATGAATCGCTTAAAGGCCCACCCGGCATGGGGAGCTCTCACCATCACCCTTCACCACCCTCAGTATACAGGAACTGACCATGCCTCGCTTCCGCCTCTCTACCCGTTCTATATAAAGAATTTAGCTTATATTGAAGAAACAAGGTGATATAATAGCTCTTCGTCAAATCTCGGTAGTTTCACTGGAAAAGAACGAGACCCCCCAGTCTCTAGCGGGCGACTACTGCATATCTCAGTGAAGGCGATCCTATACCCACCATATCAACATCGAAATAGCTGGTTGTAGATTTTTGATCATGGAATTGGCAAGCGTGAATACCGGACACGAAAGAGCTGAATAGCTCTTTTCCAATTATGTCCCAGGTCCCAGAGCTGCTCGCCAGCTTTATCACTTTCCAACTTTTTCAATCTCTCACTCACTCTCTTCATCTATTCATCTCTCCATCTCCCACTTTCTTACTTTTTCTCATTTCTTTCATCTCCATTGCTTCATGAATGAGCTTATTTACTTTGTTGTTCTCCCGATAGTCGGCATTCCACTTATCTCGTTGGCAGCAGCGTGGATCCAGCGCTTGGCTGCTAAGTTCCGCGTATGGATGCTCCTCCGAACAATCGATGCCTTTAGGAAGGATGTGGAAGCCTAAGGAGATAATCTGGCTACCTGGGAAAAGAAGCCGAGGGAGCTTAATGAGCAGAGCAGGTTGTTGCAGAAGAAGCTGACAAGTCCTCTTCCTAACCTCCTTGTGGTCCTAATACGACCTATATTGGCCCTCTACATTGATGGTCGAACTTCGACGCCATTGTCCAGAATAGCATGCCTCGAAATTCGTTCCAGACCGTGATTGATTGTACCATCCGAAATGGCCCAGGCTAGGAAAGGCAGCTACACGCGATTCTACAAAGCATGCCAACCCAAGAGGAAGCCCAGGTCCTACATGATGAGGCAGAGAAGAAGAAAACCCGTAAAGATGAGTTTTCTTACAGAGGTTCATTACCTTATTGGAGGACCGAGAGTACATTGGTTCCATGTGTATGAAGCAAGCTGAGAAACTGGAAGTCCTTGAGTAAACGATTACCCAATATCGGTTAATTGACACCACTGCTTCCCAGGTATCTTGCCTATGACTGACCACCATGCATAGTGCTTAAAGATTGACCATTCTGCCCACCTGATGGTCGGTTGCACCGGATTCGATGGCCATTTCGCTCCAACACACATGGACCCGGGTACTTCTACTACATATTCGAATATGTCTTGCCAACGGCTTTGCCGTCACAATGATGTGTCCTCTAGACAGGAACAATGACCTGTGAGCCGTCAATGCTCGCTCAACTAGCCAACGGGATCTTTTACCCACTGTGCACATAACTGGTAACAATGTCGAAATCGGCTGAAAGTTTGGCCTTGGTTGCGTAGCTTCAGCCACTGAAGACCTGGTGATGAACGATGTCTATAGCTTCATGGACCAAACCAATCTTTATAGAGGCCTACAAAGTATGTGCGATGGAGCGCGGATCAGGTGTAGCAGTGTCTATGTGGAGGTGCAAAGGAACAAGAGTTGGGTTGTATATTTACTATATAAATCAAAATAGCACGGATGCAAACACGTCCACGGTCACATGTGTAGTCTCCAGCATTCCATTGCCTTGAATTGACCACTAGGTAATCGTGAATTACAGGTATCAGAAGTGCCGATTCCAACAGCCTTGAAGTGAAACAGGGGTGTTCTCCGCATTTGTGGAGATCCCCGGATTCCTCCCTCTCACTCGAGGAAATGGAAATTCCATCCCGCCATTTTCGGCTTTTCCGGATCATCCCCGAAACCCGCTGTTTTGTCAACCTAAGCTTTGCAATATTCCCGAGGTCGTCATGTCCTTTGCTCTCCTCTCCGCAGCGTGGGGTTGCTCATTCGCTCTTGCGTCCAATCCCCACATGCTACTCGGCCAAACTTCGGATCCTTCCAAGGTTTAGGCTTCGTCATGGATCTGCAAGATTCGGTCTTCGGGATTTCTGGTCTAACATTTGCCGTCCCAAGGTCTATATTGATACACGACAATACCGCCGCCATGGGAGGAGGAAACATACCTCGGAGCAAGTGACCAGCTATTAAAGGCCGCTGGTCTGCAGGTGTCGCACCGTCAGCATTTTCCACGGTCTCTCCCAAAAATGACTCGCCTTCATGTATTGCCCTTGTTGGCGGCCATGGGCTCGATTGTCCTGGCCGGCCAAGACGCCTTCCAATCGAAATGTGTCGAGTTTGGTGCTCAAATCGACATTCCCAATGTGAAAGTCAACTTTGCCGAATTCGTCCAGGGAGGTACCAACTTATCCTTGGCAGACAATCCGCCTAGCTGCGGTAGATCAAATCAGGCCGTCTCGGTAGACTTGTGCCGAGTCGCCATGGCCGTGTCGACCTCAAATAGTAGCGAGATCACGCTAGAGGCTTGGTTCCCGCGTGAATATAAGGGCCGTTTCTTGAGCACCGGAAATGGCGGTATATCTGGATGTAAGTAATATTCCAAGGCCAACATCCCGGCTCGTCTAATCTAAACGCAGGCATTCAATACTATGACCTCGCATACACCGCGCAACTAGGGTTTGCCACTGTCGGAGCGAACAATGGACACAATGGTACCTCGGGAAAGCCTTTCTACCGTCAACCTGAGGTAATCGAAGATTATGCATACCGCTCTGTTCACACAGGAGTTGTCATAGGCAAAGAGCTCACCAAGCAATTCTACGAGGAGGGCTTCAGCAAGAGCTACTACCTCGGATGCTCGACTGGTGGCCGCCAAGGTTGGAAGTCTGTTCAGAGATACCCCAACGACTTTGACGGGGTGGTCGCTGGTGCCCCTGCTATCAGCTTGATCAATCTTATTTCATGGAGCGCGCATTTCTATTCGATCACAGGCTCCCCATCTTCCGATACATTCTTGTCCCCAGCTGAATGGAAGGTCGTCCACGAAGAGATCATCCGCCAATGTGATACTATTGATGGCGCTGAAGATGGAATTATTGAAGATACCGACCTCTGCCACCCAGTCTTGGAAACGCTGACCTGCGACCCCAGTGCCCCAAGCAAAACAAGCTGTCTCACAAGCTCTCAAGTCAACACCGCCCAGCAAGTGCTATCGCCATTCTATGGAATTAATGGCACCCTGCTATACCCACGCATGCAGCCTGGCTCGGAGGTCCTCGCTGCACCTATAATGTACAGTGGTACGCCATTCCAATACAGCGAAGACTGGTATCGTTACGTCGTCTACAACAACCCATCCTGGAGCGGGGCCAACTTCACAGTGAAAGATGCTGCTGTGGCTCTCGCCCAGAATCCGTACGACATACAAACATGGGACGGCGATATATCTTCATTCAAAAATGGCGGCGGCAAAATCCTGCACTACCACGGCCTCCAAGACCAGCTGATTAGCTCCGACAACTCCAAGCTGTACTATTCCCATGTGTCAAACACCATGGAACTTCCTCCAGATAAGCTGGACGAGTTCTACCGCTTCTTCCCGATCAGCGGTATGGGGCATTGCGGCGATGGAGATGGAGCCTATGGTATTGGTCAGGGCGTCGGTACTTACGCTGGAACCAACCCCGAGGACAATGTTCTTATGGCAATGGTTCAGTGGGTCGAGGAGGGCAAGGCACCAGAGACTGTTCGTGGTGCTAAGTTCTCTAATGGTCCTGGCTCTGAGGTCGAGTACAAGCGCAGGCATTGCCGCTGGCCTCGACGCAATGTGTTCAAGGGCCCTGGTAACTACACCGATGAGAACGCTTGGCAGTGTGTTTAGGATTGCTTGCCACTTGCTGTGTATAGGACTCTTCTAAGCTACCTATAAGTATCATTAGACGGTGGTCTGATTTGATCGAGTCAATCCAGCTCACGTATAAAGAGGATGTAAACATTGGAAGGACGTCATATGGGCAGAAAGCAGACGGAATTCATCGGCAAAACAATGCACAATACCAGACCGCCTAGTAGACTGCCCCAGCTGGATTGCAGATCAGTTGAGCTGTGTGACCACTATAGTTCCCGGTGATCATTTCTCGTTTATATATGTCCTTCATATGAATCCTTGCAAATTTTGAAAGATACCAATATATTGCACTCTCCCCTCGCCCGCGCACGGATCACCATTTAAAGCCCCATCGAAGCTACCCCTCGGATCGCGTATATAGTGGCGACAATCCCGCGCACTCTCGAGTCCCGAGTTCACAGCCAACCCGTGACCTGTCCGAGCTCCCAGTCCCCTTTCCAGACCAGATCGCAATGGCAGACCCAACGATGGACGAGTTTGCACAGACCCGCGGCGCCGACGACCTATTCGACGATGAGATTATCCCGATCTCCACAGAAGAGCAGCAGGCGCAGACAGAGATCATTACCCCCGAGCCAGAACCAGAACCCGAGCCAGAGGAAGTACATGTACCTGAGAAGCCAGCTCCGGAGCAGCCAATTCCACGTGGGGAGACTCCGCAGCGGGGCCGTGGAGAACGAAGCCGGGGACGACGGGGCCGGGGCAAAGGAGGACGCGGTGCACGGGACTCGGAGCAAAAACGGTCAGAGAGTTCTCCGCGCAAAAAGATTCCTGTCAATGCGCCTGCTGTTGATACGCGCGAGGCGACTCCTTTGAAGCCTGAGAAGCCTGAGAAGCCCGTTGAGCCTAAAGAGCAGACCGGTCCAGTTGAAGAGGGTAATGGTGAAGATTCGGCGAATAATGGCGCCGATGCCCAGCGTGTTCCTGCTGTTCGTGGCGATCGGAGTGCCACTGGTGGCCTGAGAAAGGTGTGTGCCCCTTTTCTGACCAAGATATCGAATCCCAAGCTGACTATTTCCTTTCAGCCTAAACTCACGGAAGAGGAACTATCCAAACGCATTGCTGCAGCCAAGGAAAACGCCGTGAAGAAGGCTGCGGCCCATGCTCGCGCCGAAGCCGATCAGGCGTCGTTCATGGAGCGCGAGCAGGAGGCGGCGAAGAAACGTCGCGAGGAACTCGCGCACCGCCGCGTTATGGATAGTGAACGCGAGAAAAACAGGCAGCGAAAGCTCAAGGCCCAGACGGGGCGCGAGTGGGACTCGCAGAAACGCGAGGAAGATTATGACCCCCGCGGTGGAGGCAGCCAATTTAGACGCGGTATGCATGGCGGCGTGTCTGGCGCCGCGCGACGAGACTTTGAAGACGGCCGTTCAGAAGATGCCGCAGATCACTCTGGTGGTAACCGCGGCCGTGGACGTGGTGGTCGAGGTGGCCGTGACCGTGGATCTCCGCGTGCCCCACAGGGAGACCGGCCACGCAAGGGCTTAGCTGATAGTATATTTGCAACAGAGGGCCCTGCTGCGCCGGGGTTGGATGATAGGAGTGTATTTCCAGCTCTGCCTGAGAAACCCAAGAAGACAGAGACTAAACCTGTGCCTACGCAGGAGACTAAGGTCAAGGCTGAGACTAAAGTCGAGCCTAAACCCGAAACTGCTCCTGCACCATCCAAGTCACAAACAGCAATGGACAAGTTGGACTCTACTTTTTCACCCATCACTGGAACTTGGGCAGACCAGTTTGAGGATGAGTGACCAAATGTCTCATTCGGAAATGACTTTTTGGCTTTGCTTTTCATTGGTTTTTACGATTTTCTTTCTGCATTCACGACATGAAAATACTGCTGTTTCCTCACTTGCAATTTGATATCCCGCCTGTCCTGAAGCCGGTTCAGATGGGTCAGATGCAAAAGTCCGCCAGCATTACATATACGTATATTGCCGATCATACTGAATACTGCTTTCTGGAATTGGGACATTGTAATATTTTTGCCTATTGATTTTGCAACAAGCATAGTCGGCCGCTTATGCAGCCTGTGTCCTTGAATATTTCAATAATCGGATTTATTTAGCTCCAGATATATAAGGGACGTTATATTCAAGATTATTTACCCTCTCTTTTTGGATATCGCTTTAGATTTCGTCTCAGACATCTGTCTTGTGTGTCGTTTTTGGATGCGTCACCGATGGCGGCGAGGGCGATGCGCGCGTCAAAGCGGGCAGCTCGGGCAACGGTACGGTCGGCGAGGACCCGGGCGGCGTTGGCCTCGGCCTCGAGTTTGGCGATTGTTTCATCGGGGGTTTGGCCTTGAGGGTCGCCGCATCCCTGTTTGCTATTTGATGTCAGCCCTGATCAATCCAAAGCTCCATAGGTGCAGGCTACAAAGTGTAGCAAACAAGCAAACAAGCAAAAGAAGCTGAGGAACAAGAGGAACACTTCAATTGGCACAATCACAATAGGACTTACTTTACGCGCCAGCGCTTCTTCTGGCGCGCGCTAAGCTCACCCGCAGGTCCGCGGGCAGGAGGAGGAGGAGGAGGAGGTGGAGGGGTTGCAGTGACTGAAGACATTTCTGTTGAAACGAAAAAAAGGTGTCTGACGGGGGGGGGGGGGGGGGCGC